GGTAAGATACTTCCGCCATCCCCACCTTGCACTTCTCCGCTTTTACAGTCAGCCCAGCCCCCTGGAGTCGGTCCAGCACTTGTCTAACCTGGGACACGTGGTCCTCCCAGGTCTGGCTAAAGACACAGATGTCATCAATATACGCCACGGCAAAACTCTCCATCCCCCTCAGGAGCTGGTCCACTAGGCGCTGGAAGGTGGCCGGCGCTCCCTTGAGGCCGAAAGGCCGGGTCAGGAACTCGCAGAGCCCCAGAGCCCCAGAGGCCGATTTCAGCCGGGCATCTGCATCCAGCGGCACTTGCCAGTAGCCCTTTGTAAGGTCCATGGTGGTGAGGTACCGAGCTCCTCCCAGCTTGTCTAGGAGCTCGTCCGGCCTGGGCATGGGGTAGGCATCAGATACCGTGATGGCACTGAGCTTCCGATAGTCCACGCAGAACCGGACCGACCCGTCCTTTTTGGGGACCAGCACCACCGGCGAGGCCCAAGGGCTGGCAGATGGCTGGATCACCCCCAAAGCCAGCATGTCCCGGACCTCTCTTTCCAGGTCCTGAGCAGTTTTCCCTGTGACTCGGAAGGGGGAGCATCTTATCGGCGGGTGCGACCCTGTCTGCACCCGGTGGACAGTCAGATTAGTGCGTCCAGGCTGGTTGGAAAACAGCTGTCGGTACGGATGCAGCACCTCCCTGACCTCAGCTTGCTGGGCAGGGGTTAGCTGATCCGAGAGGGGAATTGTTTCCAGGGGGGAACCAGCTCTGGTCCCAGGGAATAGATCTATTAAAGGGTCATCTCCCTGCTCTTCCCACTGTCCACACACGGCCAACACCACATTCCCCCGGCATAATATGCCTTCATCATATTCACATGGTACACCCGGCGGTGGTGCGCCCGGTTCGACAGCTCCACCACATAGTTTACCTCATTGAGCTGCTTGACGACCTTGAAAGGGCCCTCCCAGGCGGCCTGTAGTTTGTTCTTTCTCACTGGGATGAGAACCATCACCGGATCCCCGGTGGCGTAGGCACAGGCCCGCGCCATGCGGTCATACCAGACCTTCTGCTTCTTCTGGGCTCTGGCCAGATTCTCCCTGGCCAGGCCCATGAGTTCAGCCAGTCTCTCTCGGAAGATCAGGACATACTCCACCACTGACTCTCCATCGGGAGTGGCCTTCCCCTCCCATTCGTCTCTCATCAGGTCCAGGGGGCCCCTCACCCTCCTGCCATATAACAGTTCGAAAGGCGAAAATCCGGTAGACTCCTGGGGCACCTCCCTGTATGCGAACAGCAGGTGAGGTAAGTACTTGTCCCAATCCTGCGGGTGCTGGTTCATAAAGGTTTTCAGCATCATCTTTAGCGTCCCGTTAAACCTCTCCACCAGCCCGTTGGACTGGGGGTGATAAGCTGAGGCCCAGTCGTGCCGGACCCCACATTTCTCCCACAAGCACCGGAGCAGGGCCGACATGAAGTTGGAGCCTTGGTCTGTCAAGACTTCCTTGGGGAACCCCACTCGGCTGAAAATGGTCAGGAGCGCATCGGCCACAGTGTCTGCTTCAATGGAAGCAAAGGGCACGGCCTCGGGGTAGCGGGAGGCAAAATCTACCACCCCCAGAATGTATTTCTTCCCCGACCGGGTCGTCTTGCTGAGAGGCCCCACGATGTCCATGGCCACCTTCTGGAAAGGCTCCTCTATGATGGGCAAAGGTCTCAAAGCCGCTTTCCCCTTGTCCCGGGCCTTCCCCACCCTCTGACAGGGGTCACAGGATCGTCAATACTGCCGGACCGTGGTAAAGACCCCGGGCCAGTAAAAGTTCTGTAGCAACCTCTGCCGGGTGCGCCGGATTCCCTGGTGCCCTGCGAGGGGGATGTCATGGGCCAGGTACAGTAGCTTGCGGCGATACTTCTGGGGGACCACCAGCTGCCTCCTGATCCCACAGGACTCCACTTCCCTTGTGGGAGCCCATTCTCGGTACAGGAACCCCTTCTCCCACAGGAACCTCTCCTGGCAGCCTCTCCTCATGGTCCGTCCCACACTGAGGTCGGCCAGGTCCCTGAGCTTCCGCAAGGAGGGATCTTTCCTCAACTCGGCCTGGAACTCAGCGGCTGGGGAAGGGATGGGGGCTGATTCCCCCTCAGTGGCCAGGTCTGAGGCCTCAGCCTCTCTGAGCCGTGCCCCTTGGCGCTCCCTCCCCACCAGGGAAGGGTCCTGCGCCTCCGGTGCGGTACCCTCCCCGAGGTCAGGGAGCAGTGCCCCTCGCCGGCTCTGGCTACGCGTCACAACCAGGGCGGTCTGGGGCTTGCTTGGCCAGTCCTCTAGGTCTCCCCCCATCAAAACTTCAGTGGGCAAATGGTGGTGTACCCCCACATCCTTGGGGCCCTCCTTGGCCCCCCATTTCAGGTGTACCCTTGCCACGGGCACCTTAAATGGGGTTCCGCCCACCCCCCGTCAGGGTCAGGTAGGTGTTGGGCACCACCCGATCTGGGGCCACCACCTCGGGCCGGGCCAGCGTCACCTCCGCGCCCGTATCCCAGTATCCATTGATCTTCCTCCCGTCCACCTCCAGGGAAACAAGGCACTCTCTCCGGAGGGACAGCCCCGCGCCCACCCTGTAAACCGAGCACCCTGAGTCCAGAGCCTCCAGCCCTCTGGCGGAGCTGGCCTGGGGTACTCTTCCCTCCTGAGCAGGTGGTAAACTGGTAGCCCCCCTTGCCTGGGTCGTCTGCCCCTCGTCCAGCTGGGTCCCTACCCAGTTAACCCTGGGTAGGTTGGGTCTGCTCAGTTTGTCCCTGAGCCCGGGGCACTGGGACCGTACGTGGCCTCTCTGGCCACAGTGATAGCAGCTCCGGTCATGTTGCTCCCCTCGAGCGGGTCGGAGGGGCCCGACCCCAGGTGTTCCCCTTTCAAGGGGGTTCTCCCTATTTCCCTGCTGGGAGGCCCCATGGTGACTCTCTGTCTGCATCGGGGGGGGGGGGCCTGTTCTTTTGGGGCTCCTCCCTGCTACCCCCTGACCGACTGTTCACAAACTCGTTGGCCAGCTGCCCTGCGTGCTGGGGGTTCTCGAGCTTTTTGTCCACCAACCACAGCCTCAGGTCGGAAGGGCACTGTTCATACAGTTGCTCCAGTACGATTAGGTCAAGCAGGTCCTCTTTAGCTTGGGCCCCAGCTGTCCACTTGCGGGCATATCCCTGCATCCGGTTGGCCAGTTGTAGGTAGGTGACCTCAGGCGTTTTACGCTGACTCCGGAACCTTCTCCGGTACATCTCGGAGGTCAGCCCAAACTCACGGAGCAGGGCCTGTTTGAACAGTTCATAGTCCCCTGCCTCCCCGGCCCTGTCATCCGGCTGTACACCTCCACGGCTCTGGGGTCCAGTAAGGGGGTGAGGAACTGGAGCCTGTCTGCGGGGTCAACCCTGTGCATCTCGCAGGCATTCTCAAAGGCCGTCAGGAAGCTATCTATGTCCTCCCCCTCCTTACGCTGGGCCAGGAAGCACTTATCAAAGCTCCTTGCAGTCTTGGGTCCCCCCTCACTCACCACAGCCGGGGCCCCACTGCTCCTCAGCCTGGCCAGCTCCAGTTCATGCTGTCTTTGTTTCTCCTTCTCCTGACGCTCCCTCTCCTTCTCCTCCTGCTCATGTTGACGTTGTTTCTCCTTCTCCTCCTGCTCATGTTGACGTTGTTTCTCCTCATGTTGACGTTGTTTCTCATGATCCTTCAGCTCCCTCATTTTCATCTCCCTCTCCCATTCCAGCCGCCTCCGCTCCAGGGATGGGGAGCTCCGCCGGGAGGATCCCCTGCTGGGTGCTGGGGTCAGCGTGCCCTCGGTATTCATGGGCTTCCCCCAACCCCTCCCCCAGGCCTAGGTAGGAAGGGTCTCGGGATGTCCTCGGCAGCAGTCTGACCCCTCCCAGCCCGGTCAGGCCCCAGGGCCCACGCTGCATCTGCCGGGCGGCTTCCCTCCGGGACAGGGATCGGGTCATCCAAGCGATCCCTCTCCTCCAACTGGGCAATCAGCTGTTCCTTGGTGGACCTCCCGATGCGCAGCCCCCTCTGCCTGCACAGCTCCACCAGGTCGCTCTTAAGGCGTTTAGCGTACATCTCCCTGCTGGCCACTCGAAGGCCGGGCAGCTTCCCACGGTTTCCAGGAAAAGCCCTGAGTGTGCCAGTCCTTCTTGAGGTCACCGACTCTTTGCCAGGGTCGAGCTGCAGACTCCTCCGCCCCGGGACCACTCGCTGCAATCCCCCGGGGGACCCTGTTACTGCAAAAGTCCTTCTCTCTGGTCACACATTCCCAGGGGTTAACCGCCCCCCCGAAACCGTCTCTCTCTGAATCTTCAGCATGCCTGGTCCCCGTCAATTCCCCTTCGTTTTACTGTTCCCCAGTCACTTACTGCAGGAAGCGCCGTTCACGGGGTGCAGTAGATCCCACCTCTGCCACCAGTTGTCACGGAGTGTGGGGGAGTCCAGGCCCTGCACCCCTCTTCCTGGGATCCACTGAGACTCTCAGCCAGCCAGTAAAACAGAAGGTTTATTGGACAACAGGAACACAGTCCACAACAGAGCTTGTGGGTACAACCAGGACCCCTCAATCATGTCCTTCTGGGGGAGCAGGGAGCTTAGACCCCAGCCCTGGGGTTCCCTGTGTTCCTCCACCCAGCCCCAAACTGAAAACTAAACCCACCCAGCAGGTTCCCTGCTGCAGCCTCTGTCCACATTCCTGGGCAGAGGTGTTACCTCCCCCTCCCCCTCCTGGCTCAGGTGACAGGCTCTCAGGTCTCCCATCCCCAGGGCACATTCCCAGGTCAACACTCCCCCCTCCCTGCTGAGTCACATCGTCACAAGGTCCTATGGTGAGGACAAAGAAGGTGTTGGGAGGAGGCCATGGGGAAGTAGCCCAGGGAGTTGTAGCTGTCACACAGCTGTTCCAGGAGGCACTCTAGACAGCTGCATTCCACAGGGCCCTGGGCTGGAACCCGGAGTAGAGGGCGGGCCCGGGTTCCCCCCCAAACCTCCCAACTCCTGGTCAGACACAGGAGGAGTCGACCTGGACTGTGGGTTCAGAAAAATGGCCAAGCTGAGGGCTGCCGTGAAGCTCCAAGGCGAGCAAATCCGTCAATAAGCACAAGACCCGCCAAGGTAGAGGAGGAACTTTGTCACAATAATTCACATGGGGAAATAGATTCAATATGTGTAATGACCCAGCCACTCCCAGTCTCTATTCAAACCCAAGTTAATGGTATCTAGTTTGCATATTAATTCAAGCTCAGCAGTTTCTCGTTGGAGTCTGTTTTTGAAGCTTTTCTGTTGCAAAGTTGCCACCTTTAAGTCTGTTACTGAGTGGCCAGAGCGGCTGAAGTGTTCTCCTACCGGTTTTTGAATGTTATGATTCCTGATGTCAGATTTGTCCCCATTTATTCTTTTACGTAGAGACTGTCCAGTTTGGCCAATGTACATGGCAGAGGGGCATTGCTGGCACATGATGGCATATATCACATTGTTAGATGTGCAGGTGAACGAGCCTCTGATAGTGTGGCTGATGTGATTAGGCCCTATGATGGTGTCCCCTGAATAGATATGTGGGCACAGTTGGCAACGGGCTTTGTTGCAAGGATAGGTTCCTGGGTTAGTGGTTCTGTTGTGTGGTGTGTGGTTGCTGGTGAGTATTTGCTTCAGGTTGGGGGGCTGTCTGTAGGCAAGGACTGGCCTGTCTCCCAAGATCTGTGAGAGTGATGGGTCGTCCTTCAGGATAGGTTGTAGATCCTTGATGATGCGTTGGAGAGGTTTTAGTTGGGGGCTGAAGGTGACGGCTAGTGGCGTTCTGTTATTTTCTTTGTTGAGCCTGTCCTGTAGTAGGTGACTTCTGGGAACTCTTCTGGCTCTGTCAATCTGTTTCTTCACTTCAGCTGGTGGGTATCGTAGTTGTAAGAATGCTTGATAGAGATCTTGTAGGTGTTTGTCTCTGTCTGAGGGGTTGGAGCAAATGCGGTTGTATCGCAGAGCTTGGCTGTAGACGATGGATCGTGTGGTGTGGTCTGGGTGAAAGCTGGAGACATGTAGGTTGGAATAGCGGTCAGTAGGTTTCCGATATAGGGTGGTGTTTATGTGACCATCTCTCATTATCCAGGAGGTGGATCTCTTGTGTGGACTGGTCCAGGCTGAGGTTGATGGTGGGATGGAAATTGTTGAAATCATGGTGGAATTCCTCAAGGGCTTCTTTTCCATGGGTCCAGATGATGAAGATGTCATCAATATAGCGCAAGTAGAGTAGGGGCGTTAGAGGACGAGAGCTGAGGAAGCGTTGTTCTAAGTCAGCCATAAAAATGTTGGCATACTGTGGGGCCATGCGGGTACCCATAGCAGTGCCGCTGATTTGAAGGTATACATTGTCCCCAAATGTGAAATAGTTGTGGGTGAGGACAAAGTCACAAAGTTCAGCCACCAGGTTAGCCGTGACATTATCGGGGATGCTGTTCCTGACGGCTTGTAGTCCATCTTTGTGTGGAATGTTGGTGTAGAGGGCTTCTACATCCATAGTGGCCAGGATGGTGTTATCAGGAAGATCACCGATGGATTGAAGTTTCCTCAGGAAGGCAGTGGTGTCTCGAAGGTATCTGGGAGTGCTGGTAGCGTAGGGCCTGAGGAGGATTCTACATAGCCAGACAATCCTGCTGTCAGGGTGCCAATGCCTGAGATGATGGGGCGCCCAGGATTTCCAGGTTTATGGATCTTGGGTAGCAGATAGAATACCCCAGGTCGGGGCTCTAGGGGTGTGTCTGTGCGGATTTGTTCTTGTGCTTTTTCAGGGAGTTTCTTGAGCAAATGCTGTAGTTTCTTTTGGTAACCCTCAGTGGGATCAGAGGGTAATGGCTTGTAGAAAGTGGTGTTGGAGAGCTGCCGAGCAGCCTCTTGTTCATATTCCGACCTATTCATGATGACGACAGCACCTCCTTTGTTAGCCTTTTTGATTATGATGTCAGAGTTGTTTCTGAGGCTGCGGATGGCATTGTGTTCTGCATGGCTGAGGTTATGGGGCAAGTGATGCTGCTTTTCCACAATTTCAGCCCGTGCACGTTGGCGGAAGCAGTCTATGTAGAATTTCAATCTGTTGTTTCGACCTTCAGGAGGAGTCCACCGAGAATCCTTCTTTTTGTATTCTTGGGAGGAAGGTCTCTGTGGGTTAGTATGTTGTTCAGAGGTGTGTTGGAAATATTCCTTGAGTCGCAGACGTCGAAAATAGGATTCTAGGTCACCACAGAACTGTATCCTGTTCGTGGGGGTGGAGGGGCAGAAGGAGAGGCCCCGAGATAGGACAGATTCTTCTGCTGGGCTAAGAGTATAGTTGGATAAATTAACAACATTGCTGGGTGGGTTAAGGGAACCACTGTTGTGGCTCCTTGTGGCATGCAGTAGTTTAGATAGTTTAGTGTCCTTTTTCTTTTGTAGAGAAGCAAAGTGTGTGTTGTAAATGGCTTGTCTAGTTTTTGTAAAGTCCAACCACGAGGAAGTTTGTGTGGAAGGTTGGTTTTTATGAGAGTATCCAGTTTTGAGAGCTCATTCTTAATCTTTTCCTGTTTGCAGTAGAGGATGTTGATCAGGTGGTTCCGCAGTTTCTTTGAGAGCGTGAGGCACAAGCTGTCAGCATAGTCGGTGTGGTATGTAGATTGTAATGGATTTTTTACCTTCAGTCCTTTTGGTACGATGTCCATCTGTTTGTATTTGTGGACAAATATGTGGACAGAGTTGGCATCAGGCTTTGTTGCAAGGATAGGTTCCTGGGTTAGTGTTTTTGTTGTGTGGTGTGTGGTTGCTGGTGAGTATTTACTAAAAGGGACTGGATCCACTGGTCATTTAGCACTTTGAGTAGCCAACCACCTGGAATATCTACAGCTAGCCCCCACTGTTGGAGTGTTCTCATGTCCCTTCCCGTCATTGCTACAAAGGGAGTATAACCGTGACTTGCTGGGACCGACCTTAAGGCCATTAGAATCATAGGCACTTTTTTATCCCAATCTTTTCCATTTTCTTTCACCATTTTTCTTAGAGCCTCCTTTAGAGTGCGGTGAGTTCGTTCCACTGGTCCTGAGGATTGGGGGTGTCCCAAAATGTGGAACCTTTGCTTAATGCCAAGTGTCACGGAGTCCCTGGGCGATGCTCTGGAACTGCTCCCCGTGAAGCCAGTCGGGACTCTGGGGAAGTCTCCTTTCTGGGAGCAGCCTGTCTGCAGGACACAAAGCTCACACAGCTTCCACCTTCCTGGGTCTGACCTCGGAGCATTCAGCATCCTCTGCCCCTCCGTGCGCTTCCCACAGCGAGTCCGCTCAGGAGGGGCTCCTGGGGAAGCCAGAGGGTCCTGCCCCCCAACTCCGCAGTCAGACGGGACTCTCAGCCAGCCAGTAAAACAAAGGTTTATTAAACGACAGGAACATGGTCTAACACAGAGCTTGTAGGTGCAGAGAACTGGACCCCTCAGCTGGGTCCATTTTGGGGGCAGTGAGCCAGACAACCATGTCTGCCCTTCACTCCATGTCCCCAGCCAGCCCCAAACTGAAACTCCCTCCAGCCCCTCCTCCTCTGGGCTTTGTCCCTTTCCCGGGCCAGGAGGTCACCGGATTCCTTTGTTCTCCAACCCTTTAGCTCTCACCTGGCAGGGGGGAAGGGCCCAGGCCATCAGTTGCCAAGAAACAGGGTGTCGGCCATTCTCTGTGTCCAGACCCCTGCACACACCTGCCCTCTAGGGCTCTGCAATGATCATACACCCTTACCCCACCCCCTAGAGACTTAAGAACTGCCTAGGGGAAACTGAGGCTCCCCCACACTATTTAGAGGAAACATTAAGAACAGTCCCACTTCGTCACACCAAGTATCTTACACAGTTCCTGCAGAGTTTCCCAATGAAGTGTGGGCCTTGGTCCGAATCGATTTCCTTGGGCAGCCCCCACCGGCTAAACACCACCTTAAACGATTGCCGGGCTGCAGTCAAAGCTGGGTTAGTCTTTGCTGGGATGGCTTCTATCCATTGTGTAAAGGGATCTACACGACCAAACATACTTGGTATTTCACAGGGTGACTGGTAGGGGTCCAATCTTGTCTATCTGTAACCGGGCCCACAGACCCTCAATCCTTTGGTGAGCAATGGGACCCTTTTGTACCTGAGGGTCTGCACATTGCAAACAGTGATTACACTGCTGCTTTACATCTTCACTTATGCTGGGCCACCACCCTGTATCTTTGACCCTTTCTAGAGTTTTGTCCCAGAATGCCCCTTGCTCGTGCTCATGTTGAACCAGTTCAATCCTGACTTTCTTAGACACTAACCACCTTTTAGGCTGTTCCCCAAGGTCCGAGTCATGCTCGGTGACCCACGCCACCCCATCGGGATCTTTGTGTACTTACCATTTTCCACAGATTGTTCCTTGCTTCAGGAATTGTTCAGTTTCTTCATCCCCTTCTTTAGGGCTTTCAGCTCCAGCATCTCTGGGCTTGTCACCTGTTTTCGTGCTCTGGTTACTACACTGATTACCTCCTCTTCCTCACTTTGTGTTAACAGGGCCTCTTGTTTGGCTAAAGCATCCGCCTTGTTATTCCACAGTCCCTGGTTTCTGATGTGGAAATGTGTTATGTAAGTGTCTCGCGTTCGCCCCTTTATTACTCCTTGCTCCCAGTATTGTTCATGAGCGACTGGCTTTCCATCTCCTGTACAGCACCCCTGCCTGCCCAGATGGGTAGCCACACCACTACGGCTCTGCACACCCCGTCCGAATCGGTAAATATTTCCAGGGAGGCTTCCTGATCCTCCACCTGGTACCGCCACCACTTCTGTGATGTGTGTGGCTTCACGGGTCCCTTTTGTTCCTGGCTGGTATTTACCTTTACCGCTCCACATCCGGTCTTAGATCCTCCAGCACCAAAACAGCTCGACCCAGCCACGAACCAGATTTGTGCGTTTTTCTCCTGAGCATTCTGTAGGGTGAGTCCTGATTTCACTGGCCCCTCTGGCAGGGGACACTCATGCTCCTGCCCTTGCACTGCAAGGCCAGATGATACAGGGGATAGAACCTTTCCCTTTTCTAAAGTTACCCCTCGATATACAAGGGCCAGAGGCCATTGTGCCAACCTAGGATTAGATACCTGCCCCTCCCGTGCCGTTCCTGATATTATGTTTTCAATGGGGAATGTTCTGTCTGTACTATGACTTTGGATCCTCCAGTTATATACTCCCAATGCTGCCAGGCTCACACTAAGGCCCAGCACTCTTTCTCTTTCTCACAGGGGTAACATTGTGCTCAGTGTAATTCAGGGGTTTGGACCCATAGGCCACGACTTGTAATTTCCCGGTGCTTTGCTGCTGTAACCGTGCTGCTCCCTGCACCACAGCAGTACTGGGCAGTTGCAGGGGGAATGGTTCTCCCACCTTTGGATATGTGGGGCCTGGCCTGGGCCAAATCCTGTTTCAGGGTCAGTGATGCCTTTGCCTGATCAGACCCCCACTCCCACTGCTGCCCTTTCTTTAGGAGAAAATCCAGTGGGCGACATTTCAGTAACATGTCTCGAGAGGTTCCGTTCCCGAAAGGGCTCTTAAGGATGCCATATCAGTGGGGGCAGGAAGTTTTCCAATCAGTTCCCCCCGTTGTGCATCTGGGGTTCGTCCTTCCTTTCCCAATATGACCCCTCCTAAGTGTTTTACCTCTTGCTGTAACAGCTGGGCCTCGGCTCTGCTAGCCTGGAATCCAGTATCTTGGATGATCTGTAACATCTGCTTAGTGATCCTACCAACCTCCTTCCTCCCTGTGGTCCCCATGCACCCAGATAGCATCAGCATAGGAAATTACCCCTTTTGGGCTTCAGCTGTCAATTTTTCCCACATCTTAACCACATGGGAGGGACAAATTGTGGCTGCTTTATGAAAGCCGCCTGGGACCCTTGTGTGACGGGTTGGATCACAGAAACCCCCTTGGGGTTGCCAACTGACGTGCCAAGACTATCTCTGCCCTGCTTTCCCTGCCAGCCTGGGACTCCAGCACCCTCTCTCGCTGAGCCAGACACACCCGTCTGCTCCAGCACAGACCCAGAGTCTGAACCACGGGCCCCAAAGCTGCAGACTCAACTGAAAGTGACTTAAGAAGCGTTCCTGTCTTTAACACTCAGATGCCCAACTCCCAATGGGGTCCAAACCCCAAATAAATCCATTTTACCCTGTATAAAGCTTATACAGGGTACACTCATAGATTGTCCACCCTCTATAACACTGATAGAGAGATATGCACAGCTGTTCCCCCCTGCCCCCTCAGGTATTAATACATACTCTGGGTTAATTAATAAGTAAAAAGTGATTTTATTAAATACAGAAAGTAGGATTCAAGTGGTTCCAAGTAGTGACAGACAGAACAAAGTGAATTACCAAGCAAAATAAAATAGAACATGCAAGTCTATGTCTAAGAAAACTGAATACTGATAGAAGAAAAGGAGTACTTGTGGCACCTTAGGGACTAACCAATTTATTTGAGCATAAGCTTTCGTGAGCTACAGCTCACTTCATCGGATGCATACTGTGGAAAGTATACTGATAAAACCTCACCCTTAGAGGAATTCCAGTAAGCTTCCTTTTACAGACTAGTCTCCTTCTAGTCTGAGTCCAGCAATCACTCACACCCCCTGTGGTTACTGTCCTTTGTTCCAGTTTCTTTCAGGTATCCTTTTGGGTGGAGAGGTGATCTCTTAAGCCAGCTGAAGACAGAATTGAGGGGTCTCCCACGGACTTAAATAGACTCTTGTGGGTGGAGACCCCCTCCTCTCTCCTATGCAAAGTCCAGCTCCAAGATGGAGTTTTGGAGTCACTTGGGCAAGTCACATGTCCATGCATGACTCAGTTTTTACAGGCAGCAGCCATTGCCCACATGCTATCTTGAATGTCTCCAGGAAGACTTCTTATGTGGATTGGGACCTTCCAACATCCATTGTTCATTAAATGCTTCTTGACTGGGCACTTAACTTGCACATTCCTTTCTCAAATGCTTTACAAAGGCTACTTAAAAATCAAGCAAGTACACAGCCAATATTCATAACTTTGAATACAAAAATGATACATGCATACAAATAGGATGAATAGAGTCAGTAGATCATAACCTCTACAGAGATATGTTACATGGCATATGTAGCATAAAACATATTCTAGTTATGTCATATATACATTCATAAGCATATTTCCATAAAGCCTTATGGAGGGCACCCCATAGGAAATTACCCCTTTTGGGCTTCAGCTGTCAATTTTCCCCACATCTTAACCACATGGGAGGGACAAATTGCAGGTGTGTTATGAAAACCCTGGGGGACCCTTGTGTTGTCCCCTGTAAGTGAACTCAAATTTGTACCGGGACTCAGGGCGTGAGGGAATGGCAGAGGAGGCATTTGCTAAATCTGTTACTGAGAACCACTATCTCCCTGCTGCTGCTGCAGTGATTACCTCTTGGTACTTGGCCACGACCGGAGCAGTGGCAGGGTTACTGCGTTTAATGCTCTAAAACCCACTGACCTTCTCCAGGTCTCCCCTCCCCTTTCGGTACAGGCCAACTGGGCTGTGTTAGTACTCGCCATGTGCCCAAGAACAC